CATTCTGGTGCCCTATGGTGATAGGGATGGGAGAGAGAGAACACCTGCCAGTTTCTAAAAGATGAAATGTAAACTTCCAGGAAAGGCTCCATAGTATTCAGGGATAGGAGAGGGAAGCAAGGATTTCCACCCTCTTCTATGGGAGGTAGATTCAAAAGAATAACAGCAAATCACCAGGAGCATATACACTGTTCTAAACGCTCCCACATTTTAACTTTCACAGATGTTGTGGTATTGGTGTCAGAGAGGCTTGAATTTTGTCCTGGGGCTTCAGTACTTCTGGTCACTTAGTTATCACAGCCTCCTAATCTAAATTCCATCATTCCAAATTTTTCTGAGAAAACTTGTGCTCAGAAAGGCCAAGTAACTTTCCCTAGATCAAATCATCAGGGGCAAAACTCAAAGCCCCTGCTCTTGCCATTCAGATTCTTTGCCTCTGTGTGAGTCAGGAAGGAAGTCAAAGATGGCTTACAAGGGAACCTCAGAGTGCTGGCCAGCACTGTGCCTTCTATTCTGAGGGGACACCTGGGTGCTCAGGGGACACAGTGACCTTGGTGTCCCTGCTTCACTCTGTTTCTGTGATCAAAGCAGCAGAGGGACACTCACAGCATCTGAACAAATAAAAGAAGCAAGACAAGCACAAGCTTGCCTCTGTGATCCATCAAAATTTTTCCCATGTGGGTGACAGAAAAAGGGTTTTGGTGGTCAGAAATGTAACAAGGTAATTATTTTCACACCAGTCCTTCACCATAGTTTTTCACAGACAGCAATTTTATAAGGCATAATTATCTATTTTCACCTGCTTCATAAATTCCTACTTTCCATCTCTTTCCCCAGTAAACTAGAAATTATTTAAAACTGAAGCTATGCATCACAGTGCTCGGTTTCACATTGTTGGGCACTTCCTCATGCCTCCCTCACTATTCCTCCATCTGGATGACTCTGTCACACTCCTCTTGCTGTCTGACCCTCCTGAGGAAAAAAGCAAAGTGTGTCTCACTCAGAGAAGTCAATGAACCTGACTCCTGAGAAATGAAGATCATTCTTGTTGATCATCACTCTTGTTCAGCTTCTCGGCTCCTGGAGTTCTCGTGCTTGGTCTGTGCCTCCCTCTATTTCCCTCAAATGCCTGGACATATAGCTCACCTTCTCATTGGTTTCCACCAGGATCTTCATGCCAAGGTGACCGTATGGTCTGAGATCACACAATGAGTTCTGCTGTGATGCTGAGGGATGGGTCAATCTCACTCCCCTCCCCACCCTGGACAGCATCCCTTCTATTTTCAGATCCCTAACACCCTCTCATGCTGGAAGCTTCAGATCTGCTGCCATCATCACACTTTCCAGGGATATAACCAAAGCAAGTTCTAGCATCGATTGATAGTTTACTACAAACCAGGCACTGTGCCAAAGACATAATAGTATGATTTTGTTTAATCCTCATAACAACTCAGAAAGGCATACATTACTATAAGATTGTGAGAATTAAACAACAGAATGTAATAAAGTTAAAAAATTAGATCAAGGTCGTAGAAAAGGGAAGAGACAGAGTCAAGATTCAAGTGTTTCTTTCTAAATTGCCCATCTTCTAATCACTGCACGTAATTGATTATCTGAGCTTTTCCCAGGACCCTCTCAACATCAGGTCAATTTAGGGAAGCCAGGAAGCCACTGGATACTGGAGCCTCTGGGCAGTGCCTGAGGGAGGCATCAGGAGGACACTGTAATATTGTGGAACTTCGGTTCAGGAATGCTTTTGTTTTGTGAACAATTTGGTTCACAAACAGAAGCATTTGACAAAATTTTGTTTTTGCAAGCACTGCATTGGGTGATGAACACAACCATGGTCATTTTTTTTCCAGAATCATGGAATAAAATAAGTATGTTAACTGAGGCACAGCTCTATATACATATATATTCCTGTACAGCATTTCTTGGCACACAATTTCTAAAAACCTTGGCCTCCTCAAAGTAATGTCTTTTGAAATTCCAATGGATGACAACCCCATAGGTAGTTTTTGGGTTGGCAGCTGGTCATCAATGTGGATCATTGAGACTTTCGGTCCCGCCCCCAAACTCCAGGTAGGACAGATGAGTTGAAGATTGAGTTAATCATCAATGGTTAAAGATGCAAACAATAACATATATGTGCTGAGGTCTCCATAAGCACAGGGTTCAGAGAACTTCAGGACAGCTGAACACACAGGTTCCTGGGGATAACGTGTCGGAGAAGGCATGGACTCTCTGAGACCTTCCTCTATCTTGCCCTGTGCACCACTTCTTCTATGTCCTTTGTAATGTCCTTTATAAGAAGCTGATAAAGAGTATTTCCCTGAGTTCTCTGAGCTTTTCAAACATATTAGGTGAATGTAAGGAGGTGGTGAGAATCCTGATTCATAGCCAGTTGGTCAGAAGCACAGGTATAGGACACTGTAGACATTCTCTGTCCTGTACATTTAGAAGGATGGACTTGTCCTGCTTCACCCAGAATCCTCAGTGCCCAGCCAGGCTATAACTGCTTCATGATGGGATAGACGGAAGATTTGATTTGTAAAATGAAGAGGCCCTACCAGCCCCAGACTCTGAGCAGCCTCTCTCAGGTTGAGCCGGGCTTCTGCACAGCTGCCCTGCCCAATTCACTGAGCCAGCTGGGGGCCCCAAGGCCACAGTGCAAGCCTATCCTTGCCTCAACGGCTCCAGCGATGCTCCTTATATCTGAAAAATTATTCACTGTGGTGATGTGTGGTGCCTTTTTAAGAGAACAGATGGCACCTCCAATTAGAATGCTTTAAAAGGAAACCCTAATGAGAATATAAAAGCCAACAAATTGACTTTTTCATACAGTACTTCCCTGGCACACAATAAATCAAATATATAATGAGGCTCAATAAAATAATAGCTTTACTTACACTTGTTTTGTCTAGCATTGTGTTGCAGCCTGTCCTTGCCCTCTGAGTCCCCTCACCAAGCACTTGTTCCTGTAGATCAGGCTGGGAAGCTGGACGATACATTCAGGAGCTGCTGTCAGATTTGACCACCACAGGCATATGTAGCTTTGATTTAGAGGTGTCTCCTATGAGCCTAGTGCTGTATGTCCGGGGATACAAGGCACAGGGCTATGTAAAGGAATGGCAGCTCTGGTGACACACACAGGAAAGGCAGCTCTGTGCAACTCTGGGAAAGTTGGGGAGGATATGAGAGAACCAGAGGGAGCATAGGATGTGTGCCTGTCCCCAGAACTGGATGAAGCAGAGTCAGGAGGGGAAAACCTATGGGGTATGATTTAAAGAATGTGGGCTCAGTCAATAGGTCGGAAATGGAATGAGGGTCTTTGGGGTGTTACTTTTTGCAGGAACGGGGTCTGTTGGTTCAGGAACATCTGAACAGACTCATTTGGAGAATCTGGCCATGGGTATAGCTTCCTTCTGGTGGCCTCATCCTCAGTAAGTCTACAGGGGGCACAGCTGCTAAAGTTAGGAGAACCTTGATTTCTATTTTCATGGGTTTATTTGGAGAAGGAAGCAGACTACTAAAAGGGGTTTATGAGCAGAGGTGGAAAGGAACATATTTGGAGAGAAGCTGTGAGACCCTGAGTAAGTGTATTGGTCTTCATGGAGACTGGTCCTTGATCTGAACACCCAGGCAGTACTGACTTAGCATCCTTAAGTGTCCCCTAAAAGAGTACACTAAACAGTACTACTTGGGCTCATAGAAGCGCACCTTGGTGAGGGATGGTCAGAAATCAGTGGAGGAGACGCCACCGCAGAAAGAGAGGGATTCTGTTCAGCAGAAATGGAATCACTTCTGTAAGTCTCCCTCTACCAGAGGAAGTCTGGGGAAAATCAGTTCACAAGAAGATGAGCTTTTCCTCAGCTCAAATCTATAAGCATTGATTGAGCTCAGGGCCTTGATCTAGAAGGCACTTTCATTCCTCCTCCGTACCCAGGAAAGGTTACATATGCTACAAGTCCAGAATTAAGAAATTCTCCCACTCAGAGTCTGGTTATTTTTTCTGTCCATCAAACTGCAAGTGCAGATGAAATGTCCCCATGTGGCCTTCTGCGCTGGGGGTGGGTAGGAGTGATTTAGTCCAAACTGATGGCGGAAAGATCTCAGCTCTCAAAAAGCCAGGCTGGAGTGTCCAATGCAAAAGAAAATTCCAGCATGATTAGAGACTAACCTGCAGTATTGATCCCAGAACACAATGGGAATACTGAAAAAAAAGAGATCATCCCTTCTTCAGGCTGAAACCCTTAGTGAAGGAGGAAACGATTCTTTCCCCAATTCCTACCAGAAAGTAGAGATAGCCCCCACTTTTGACAGTATGACAGTCCTTCTTCCTGCAGAAGATAATGGGGGAATGGATGTAGCTGATGCCAAACCACAAGAATTCATGCCTCAGAGATGCTCTCTGTAGTCAGGCTCTACTACACCATGCTGGCACTGGAAGGGACACAGGGAGTTGAAGATATGGTCCTGGTACACAAGTACATTCATTTGGTAGCTAAGATAATTATAAAATAACTAGACAATTAATAAAAGTACAATACGTTCAAGGGAAACCTAGTGACAGATATACAGGAGGTCCAGTGAAGACAGATGTTTCCAGCTGTAGAGACCAGGAAGGGGTTTCTAAGAGGAAATGACTGGGAGAGTCACTAGGAATTGTTGCAATATTCTAGATCTTCATTTTACACTGAAAGAACTTCCCAAACTATCATTTTTACAGTATGATGTACAGAAATTGCCCTGGTGGGGTGAAAGATATACTCTCCTATTTGGAAGAAAAGGGGGAAAAGAAGGTAATTTTGACCTTGCCCTACTGAGCAGAGAGCGGCTCCACATCCCACTGCAAAGGAGCTGTCCATTTCAGCACCCGGCCAGCCTTCTGCTTTGCCCTGCAAAGGAGGGAAGGTGTCTTCCCCACCCTGGGCCAGCCCCCAAACTCACGCTTTCAGGGAACCAAACGCCCCAGCCCAAAGCCTTAACTAGACACTTACTAGTGCATGCCACTTCCGGAGGGTCAAAATCCGCTCTGTAATAGCCAGTCCGGCAGGTGCAGATGGGAGACGCCTCTGAAGGAGAGCGGCTGTTGGAGGGGCAGTGGGAGCAACCCTCAGCTTCCTGGCTGGCCTTGAATGTCCCTGCAGGACAGGCTGAAACATAAAGAGATCATGTGAGAATTAATGGAAGGGTGGCAGGCAGAGGTCCTCTCCTGGAACTGGAAAATGAAAGACTCTGCACTTATAAAACAGATATTGAGATGCTCCTTTGTACAAACACACCAAGTGAGCATCTTGATTGAAAAATCCCTAGTTAATACTTCCAGTTCCTCAACATCATTAGTGAAATATGCCTTGTTGGTAACAATGGCCTTCTTACTTGAACAATATGAAAAATGAATCTCCTCTCTCAGGTATGTCAAAAATTTAATTGGGAAAATGAATCTAATAATATGTAGCTCAGGGCCTGGGATATAAATGCTCTGAAATGATTGTTCCTCCACCTTCATGTCTGGTTAACAGCCTGGTACTTACCACCAGCCATTCACTGAAGAAATCTAACCTTAGAGCCTAAGCTGGTCCTGGTTGACAATGGACCAGATCCATGGTTCCTAAGTGCCATGTTGCAACACACAAGAGACACTGAGAGATATGTTAACAAGCACTTGTTATGAATGATGGCAAAAGACTGAAATTCATGAGTGGTGCTTTAAAAAGAAATTAAGGTGATTTCAAGGTTAGTTCTGTAAGAACATCATTCTTCCTTAATTGCATTTTGATATGCATTCAGGGATGGAGGAAGAAAAGAATGGCTTTACAAGCAGTGCACCAGGGAATGTGTCATGCACTTGCTATCTTCTGTCACATATATTGCTTTGGGGAAGGCTGGGAATACATAGTACAGCTTGATGCCATTGGAGACGCTCTCATATGCAGAGCACCTCTTCTTGGTCCCCTGTGGAATCAGTTTATACAGAGTCACGTCATGCCATATTTGCCTCCAGACTATCCCTCAGATTTGAGCATGTCTCCTCTACTGAAACCCTCAGGCTCAGACATCTGGTCTCCCTCTTGCCATGCTCCCAGAAGGGTGATCCTGCGTGCCCTACTTCCCTACAGCTCTCCTCACCACTTTAGCCCCTGACTCTTCTTGTCCCAGTGAAACCCGCTCTGGCTCATCTTCCTTTGAGAATTGGTAAAACTCACTGCCTGGTCAACTTGTTTGGTTGATACACACCTCACTACTTTGTTCAGCAAACATTTACTATGTGCTTCCTGAGAATTTGACCCAACACAGCCTGCCTTTTAGGAGTTCTTGATACAGAGTAGTCATATTGTTATAATGTAATGTGATAAGTGCGCTCATAGAAGTATCATTATAATGGCTTCTACTTGCAAAGCTTCTCTTCCCAAATATACTGTTCCCTCCTGGAAAGTGCAGTGTTCTTTAATAACAGCAGTAGCCACCATCTGCTAACTTATCTCATTAAATGCTTTACATGCATTACTCTATGGGGTGGCTATTATTATCTTCATTTTGCTAATGAGGAAGTTGGGACACCGAGAGGTTAAAAAAGTTACCCAGAATCACACAGTGGGAGAAATGATAGTGATGATATGCAGATAAGCTATTGGAAAAGCATCCACCACGTTTCTGCCAAGGCAAGAAGGAAGAACAGCTTCCTATGCTATGAAAATTTTCTTATTCTACTGCTCATTTCAAGTAAGGACACGGATTCAGTTACTCTGGATGTGCACCATATTGTAGATGGAAGGCAACCTCAGTGAAAGGAAAAGTTCTGGAATAGCATAACTCAACTGTTTTCCATGGAACACAAGTTCTTTGAGGCCTCAGCACCTATCACTTATCTGTGCTCCAATATTTTGAAAATGTGGACAACAAAGTTATTTTCATTACTTTTAATGGGGAATTTCTTGGTGCTTGAAAAATGGGACCTAGAATGCTAGATTTACCACTGAGAACCCTAATTTGAAGAGCATCTCCTGGGGCCTCCATTACAAGGAGCACACTGGAGTAAATACTGTTTCCCTTGGGAAACAATTTCTGTTGTAACCTATGTAAAAATGGGCCACTTGATGACGCAGCTAAGCACATTCACAAGAAAATGCTCCATGGGAAAAATGACCTGGAATAGTTACTAAAAAATCAATAGATAAAAACACTAAGTTGGGAAACACTGAATAGCTACACAAAATATCTTACAATTTGGCTTATTAAGCCATCTTTCAAAGCCCACTCCACAGAGTTTCTCCCTCTATCTTCCCCCTCTTTCCTTCTCTGCCATCCACAACTCATCCTTGTCTCCTGCAGAAACACATGACTCATGCCATCACTAGCTCCCAGTGTTCCTTGCACAGCTGGGTTCTGAAGAAGACACAGAGGAACTGGGCCTGTGCTGTGAAGATGCAGCAGGGGGAGGAAATGTGATGACTATTCATGCATTCATATTTGGTCTCTGCCACACTGTAATTTTCTTAATGTATCAGTTCAAGAAGAACAAAGTGTTTTCATGTTCTTTCCAGCACTTAAAAGCCTCCTCACTTTACATTTAATAAGTTAATAGCATAAACAATCATCCTGATATCCACAAGTGGCAGAGAGATTTGGAAAGTGGCTTCCTGAGATTTCTGACGAGGGAAGCAGCTCTGAATTCCAGGGATGCCTATCTCTGAATTCTTGGGCCCTTAGGGAGAAATACTCAGAGAGAGGTAAGGAACCTTCTTAGGAGGGAGTCTCAGTCCAGCCTCCTGTTAGAAATAAGCTCTGGGCAGTAGTAGTCAGCCACAAAATGATGGGCTGGCTTCCTGGTACTGTTCGTTCTTCTTCTTTTTTTTTTTTTTTCTGGTACCAGGGATGGAACTCAGCACCTTGTGCTTGTGAGGCAGGCGAAGTGTCACTGAGCTAAATCTCTGGCCCAACTGCTCATTCTTACTAGGGTGGAACGTTATGGAATTCCTCAGAGCCTCAGTTCGATCACCTATACAAAAGATCTGTACTTCTCAAAACTCCTGTATTAGAATTAAATAAACTCATGTATGAAACACAGCCATCGTTAATGTGTGTCCCATAATCTCTCTCCATCTCAACCTGTCCACTCCCTTTTGAAAATCAAGCTTCCTTTTCAGTGAATTTTAGAAGTCAGAGTCAGAATTTAAGTTTAGAGTCCCAAAGTGGGCAAATAAATCCTGGAACTAAATGGTAAAATATGTTTCTACATAGATTACTTCTGTTTGGATAATGAGTGAAGTGTTACACCTATAAAATGTATTTTACCTACAATTGCAAAATGAATGAATCTCCTTAATGTTCAGATTGTACATGTTAATATCTTAATAACTAGATCTATATCCAGACATTTCCTAATTTAAAAAAATGCGGTCTTCCCAAATTTGCTTAATGAACTTCTACATTGTAACTTGTGATCTCCCTTGTACTATATTTTCTTGTAGAATTAATTTCTTAAATAACAGTTAAAATGTCAGGCTAGTCCACAAAGCCTTTTTAACTCATTTTGTATCAGATGCCACTAATAGAAGTTATTGATGTTGTTATTTTACTAAGAAAACTAAGAAAAACATGCTACCTTTTGAGAAAAAGTGGCATTAATTAGAGGTGATAGAGTATTTGGGTCAATTTTGGCATAGAATACATAGGCCAAGAGAAGCAAGTGGAAATGGCCTTCAATACTGCGTAAGTCAGTTAAGAATGTCAAGCAACTGGGAGTAACATAATAGGGAAAGGTTGGGGTTCTGACAACCTGGGAACTGACATCTGTTGAAAGACTCTGTGGTTTTCAAAAATAATAATTAAATATTGTGATTGTCTAATGAATCTTGGCCTTTCAAGCAATAATAGGACTTTTATTTAATATTTCAAAACTCAGGGGCTGCCTTTCTCCCAATACAAAATTATGGCAGGCACTCTTATCAGAGCTATGAGCTCCTTATTCAACAGATGGGTATTGAAGATCAATCTCGTGTAGGCACCACTAGAAAAAGGTGAAGTCCAGGTAGCAGACTTTAGGGAGACTTCCTGGTAGACCAGGTGGACAAAATGCTGCTCCAGACACACCCTGACTCATGCTATTCTGTGTGTGCACACAGTACCACTCAGCCAGGCTGTGCATCATTTGGAGATCCACCTTTCTACAACGAGGGTCATAAGAAACATCTTCTAGTGATTAGGAGGTGAGATTCAGAAGGAAAGAGAAAGACAACCCAAAAAAGAAAGAGATGGAAGAACTGGAGAAATAGGTAGGGAAATTAGGTCAGAAAGGGCCCAGCCTGAAGCTTCACAAGGGTGAGTTTCATCACTACGCCAAGAGGTATGAGAGAGAAGAGTCACATGCACCTTGTTGTATATTGAGGGGAGGCCTTTGCAATGGGACACTTGTAAGGGAGGGCTATGCGTTTTTGACATGGTGCAGTCCACAGTCTCTTGGTTTCCTTGGCCTCATTGTAAGTGGTCACAGTTCAGACAGAAGACCTAGCCTAAATGTGGAGAGCCAAGGTTGCTGGTTGGCATCCCTTATACCTTCTCCTTGGCTCCCAACTTCAGCAGAGGGGAGACACAAGACCTGTGTACCCAGCCACTACGCATGTGTGCATTTTCCATCTGCCATGAAAAACACATTTCCTTCCCCCTTCTAGCAACAACAGACTGATACACATCACCTCTAGCTGGTATCTGGAAGGTCACCTTGAAACACCCACCCAACTTCTCAGCACCTCAAAGATGTAACAAATTACCTGCTTACAATGCTCTTAAGAACACCCCTCCCCTCCCATCCCTGCATAAAGACTTCCAGTGACACTGAATCCATCACCTACAGTACTATTACTTTATAAAGAAACAGATTAAGTGTCTCATAAACAGTGCAGTGATTGAGATAATGGAACGCGCCTCTCGTTCTGCAGCATCAGGTTATGAAGCATTTCCAAGCAGCCAGGAAAAGGAAATTAATAGAAGCAAGAGGGAATAACCACTTTTATGCAATTTCCTCAGGAGATAGTGGACCATCTAATCTTTATTGGAGCCCTTTAACCTGTCACTCAGCACTCACCAGAGCCTCTTTAGCTCTCACAATTTTTCTTGATATCTAAGGAAGATAAGATGAAAACCTGAAAACATT